CCAAGAAATTCCAATTAAGTGACCAGGAGTATTGGTACTTTTTATGAAGAGAAGTTCTACTTTTCTCAGATGTAAGAGTCTAAACTCTTTATGTACCATTTCTGAAAAACCAAACCACATGAACTCATTTCAGAAGTAACAATGTTAATGGCTAACATGAAATAAACATACCCTACTGTTCTTAGTTCTTTACACATATTAATTAATTTAATCCTCACAACTCATGTAATCTCATCCTAGGGAGCAAATACTATTAATATTCTCACTTTACAGATGAAGACACAGAGGCAGGGAAAGGTAATATGTTATCCAACATTATACAAATAGTAAGTAGTGGACCCAGGACTAAATGACAAAATGAAATAGATGATAGGTAAATAAATGTACAGAGAGATAATATAGACACCAAAATTGCTGTTTTAGGAGGGATTTCCAAAACTTTTGTGGGATTCAGGGCACAAATAACAGTTTTTAGTGTTAATTATTATAGAAATCAAGTGGATTAGAAACATTCTCACACGTGCCACCTTGTAAGATTTTCACTTCAGCCTTCATCTTGAGAGCCCCAATTTGGAAACAATCAAAATGTCTTTTTTTTTTTTTTTTTTTTTAAAGATTTTATTGATTTATTCAACAGAGAGAGAGATCACAAGTAGGCAGAGAAGCAGGCAGAGAGAGAGGGGGAAGCAGGCTCCCTGCTGTGCAGAGAGCCCGATGTGGGGCTCGATCCCAGGACCCTGAGATCGTGACCTGAGCTGAAGGCAGAGGCTTAACCCACTGAGCCACCCAGGCGCCCCAATCAAAATGTCTTTTAAGAGTGGCGTGACCAAATAAACTCTGATACAAGCGCTGTTGACTATATTGCAATGGTTAAAAAGAATGAGGTCACTCAATTTGAAAGATGGCTGAGATATATTGTTTAAAAAAAATCCATAAAACCAACTCTATTATATTCCTGTAAGTCAAAGCTATGAGGATAATAAAAAGATCAGTGGTTACTAAGGGGAGGGAGGGATGAAGAGCCAGAGGAAAGAGGGTTTTGAGGGCAGTGAAAGTACTCTGTAAGATACCACAATGATGGATACATGTCATTAAATATTTGTCTAAACCCACAGAATGTAAACACCAAGAGTGAACCCTAATGTAAACTATGCACTTTGGACAATTATAGATTCATCCTTGTGATTCATCCTTAGTAAGAAAGCACTATTCTCATGAGTAGTGTTGATAATGGGGGAGGCTAGGCAGTGTGAGACAGGGTATATGGGAAATCTTTGTACTTTCCTCTCAATCTTGTTGAGAACCTAAAATTGCTTTAAAAAATAGTCCTTAAAGAGGCGCCTAGGTGGCTCAGTGGGTTAAAGCCTCTGCCTTCAGCTCAGGTCTCCCAGCGTCCTGGGATCCAGCCCCACATCAGGCTTTCTGCTCAGCAGGGAGCCTGCTTCCCTTCCTCTCTCTCTCTCTCTCTGCCTGCCTCTCTGCCTACCTGTAATCTCTGTCTGTCAAAAAAATAGTCCTTAAAAATACATACAATATACCATTTATGTGATTAAACACACATAATAAAATATATTCTCCAAAAGAGATATATATATATATGTATATATATATGGAGGTATAGATTTGTGAGTAAAGGTACTATGTTGATATAAGTGTATCCGAGTAACCTATCACAAAAGGATTTAGGTGTTCAAGAGAGAACTTTAGTTTTACTGATGATTTTATTATCTTTAAATAATGAAAATATGTATTAATTATATGCTATAGAACATTCTAAAGAAGTAGTTATAATTATTATTCTTTCTGATTTTGATTAACATCTGTTTGTCCAAGAGATATGAGTTTACATTGTCTATATTAGGCAAAAGACATTACCTATCAGAGTCGAGAGTAAGTAGAGAATGTTTCCATTTTAATAACTCTTGGAAAGACTCGGCCTAAGAAATCACCATGGTGTCAGGCAGGGCCACTAAGGATTGGATTCACCTTCAAAAGTCCCTAATATCCAGCACACAGTCAGCAATCTTTACAAGCAATTCTAGAGGACTTGCCATTTGTCTTATTAATTCTTCCAAATTCTTAGTACTCTATTCTTTTCAGCTCTCATATAGTCCTTAGAAGAGTATCTTGCTCTCAGTAGGTTCTTTAAGACCTTATCACCCAGGTACCTAAAGCATTTTTAAGCTAACTAAAAAATTAGCTATCACCTCCATTTCCTTTCCTCCCTACCCAAATTCAAATAAACATCCACTGTGCTGCCTCCTCATGAAAGAGGCAGTATCTCACACAACATGTTTGCTCAGTCTCTTTGCCAAATATCTGAAGAGGAACAAAGAGGGACAGTTTCTGCAGAAAATCTGGGGACACTCTTTCTGTGCATATTCATCTGAAAGAAGAATTTCGTTTTTTCCATTCAGTGGATATATTAATTTATTTAACCATTTCCTATTTTGTGCTAGACATTGTTCTAAGATTTTCCATAGGAGTATAGAAGAACAAAGGATCATTGAGAAGCTGGAAGGTAAGACTCTTTGAAATAGGGAAAAAATTGGGTAAAGAAAGCAAAAATGACCTGGATTTTAATTCTCCTGAACTGAGACTTTTGACATTTGGCACATACAGAAAAAAATGTAATCATGCAAACATCTAATACAACTTTCTTCCCCCCCACTGGCTTCTCTCTTAGCCTTGTAGTCTTCAAACAGTATTTTATTATAAAGGCTTGGTACTATTACAGCATTTATTATTTATATTTGAATAATTTTAAAATTTCACTGGCATTTCAAGTTTCCTAAGTATCAAATTTTTTGTTTATATTAGCATTCCCTTTCCTTAAACCCCTGTCTGTTAGGCCAAATCCTAGGAGACCTTTTCCCAGCTGCTTGATTACTACCTATTGAAAGGTTACGTCTCATAGACACAAACCAGCTACTTTCTTTCTTAGTACCAAAATATGATCATGCTCCAAAACTATCTACCACCTATTTCACAGAAATGACTGCCAATGACACACTTTTTAAAAAGAAAATATCAGTTTAGAGTAGAATAAATTTTGTACTCTAAATGGTGTTAGGAAACTGGTGAAAAGTTACACGATTTCTGCTCCATGTGTTTTATTCATCTCTAGTTATAGAAGTACATTTGTTGCTTGTGATCAGAGAGAGAAGATAAATAGAGTTCACCAATAGGGAAAAGGGCTTTGATGATTTCAGTCTCTGGAACGCCATTGCCACAGTCCTTATGTGCTCCAATAATAAGTATGCAACTTACACTTTTCCCTTTGTAATTTCCTCAAAAATTATTCACTCTTCTATTCATGGTTTAACAAACCTTTTTCTTTAATGCAGTCTGTTACATCAAATTAAAAACATTTCAACCAATTTCAGAACCATTCTACATGAAAAGAAAAATATACAACTTTGACAGGCTAGTATTTACAAGGAAGAAAAGGTCTTAGAAAGTTATTTTTCTCCATCTTTCATATTCAGCAATTATAATTTTTGCCAAGCTAAATACCTTGTGAAGATCTTTATAAAATAGCTTTGTAACAAGGCACTAATATCATGTTTTACTTTCATGTGAAAAATGCAGTTAAACTTATTTGTTCAGGAAAACTACTTTACAATATTACTCTCTATATAGTAATATTTCATATAGAAATCTTCCTCATTTCTGTTACTAAATATATCAAATAGACTTCTAACATGATTGCCCTGGTGCCCATATTTTAGGAAGATTCCAATGAATTCCAATTTGGTATTTTTGCTGAGAGTCCCAGGTGCATGTAAAATGTATGCAAAATATATATATACACACACATACACATATAGATATGTATATCGTTTTATTTATAATCATTCTTACCTAGCACTCATACATATTTGAGTAATAAAAAAAAGTATAGTATGATTTATCAGTTTCAAGTGCCAGGGCAGGAGTGGGGGTGGGGTGAAGATTTCAGGAATAATGGCAAATACTGTCTGAATGTGTCTTTTTGGAAGGGTAAAGCATTCTAATTTGCTTGAATACCATATGCAGGGATCATGTCTGTTTTGTTCACCAGCTCATCGATTGGGCCTGGCAAGTACACTGCATATGGTGGCCATTAACACAGAACACATATTTTTCAAATGAACAAACATATTGTACTAAGTTGGGATGTTCTAGGATAAATTTTCCCCTTCAAACAGATTTACTTTTTAGAGATAAAGAAAATTTCTTGGAATAAAACAGCCATCATTTTCATCTAAGAACAGCTTATGAAAGTCTGTTTGCAACCTGGACTAAACAAGGTACTTACTGGTATAAATAAAATGATTCTGTAACTTCAGATTTTGGCAATTGGACTCATTCAGATCGACTATACTTTTATCTCCTTTTCTATCAATTGATGGATTAAATTGCAAGCACGTTGGGATCATTGTGCATCTGTAATATTTTGTTACTAGGTTTTTTACATAGGTGTGTATGTATATACACACACACAAAGCAGATTATCTAGATAATAGTCTTCCAAATAATTAATGGAAATGTAAATAGTACCTCAATTTCCATATAATCTCTGCTGTTTTTATTGTCAGAGAGAATGGAAATTGCATGCTTCACATGTGTCGTCTTAAGTACTGAAGAAATCTTTTTTTGTTGAGTTACCTGGTTGCCCATCCACGTCTGAGAGGCCCTGGGGAAGACAGCTCAGGGAGTTGTGTAGTTGAGTTTTGACTAGACTTTGTTGATGTAGCCATTTCATAATTTTATTACCTCCAGCTTGATTTTAATTTGAACTGAATCTTTCAACATACAAAGGCAAGTCATACTTATTTTGAAATGAATTACTGAGTGATTCACTGATGAAACATTCTGAGGATGTTCGAAACATTACCAGATGATTTAATAGACCAAACGAAGGTATATCCAGAGGGTAGATTTACTGTGGCTACTTGATTTGCAACATATGACCCCATAACTCTCTGTGCACAACCGTTGCTCCGGCTTAATCTTACCTCCAACGCTGGACATTCTGGAGGAGTCCTGATGAGAGCTGGATTTATTGCGGTTTTGATTTTTCCGTTTGTTAGCGGCTCTCACGGATCGAAGGAGTACCTCGCTTGCCTTGAAGAAGGCCACCATGAACGGTTGTTTGGACTGAGGCCCGTGTCTTCCCACAAGACCCGCGGATTTCACATTGATACTGCGTCCTGGAACAGAAAGCGCAAGCACTTGGTTTATGAGAAAGAAAGAAGGTTTACCTGACGTGAATGAATTCTGAGAGTGCTTTGAAAAAGGAACATTATTTTTGAAAACATTATCAGAATGTTTTCCTTGCAGGCCAAGGATTTTTATAAACATTGAAAGTTTGCCGGTACAGACAATTATCCATGCTGGGTCTTACATTTTGCATCATTCTTCACCACAGAACGCCCTCAGGCTGCCTTCACTAACTGATCCTTCTCAGACCTGGAAGTCAGCGATATTTCAGACGGAAAGGCTTGATTACCATCAGCCTGGAAATGTCCACATTAAATAACAATTTCAAAAATATTAGCTATGGACTCTTCTGCATTAAATGCCCTATAATTTTCCTCTAAGTGATAAAAGCTGAATGGCTGCCTGGGTGTTTTTACTTTCTTCAGCTTTTTCAAGCCTTTCAAGTGTTAATTAGTGCTGAGAGCCTTCCCCTTCACCTCGGGCCTGTGCCCAGCAAACTTTACAAAGCTATGCTCTACTTAAAGCTCTTCACATCACAGGTCATTCTAGAAGCCCTGCTGGAGATGGAGTTTTGCTTTAAATTCCAGTTCTTTCTCAATGCCAAGTATTTTGAAGTAATCAGAGCAATTTCAGAGTTCCTCCTTCTCTGAGTTTTGGACACACCTGAATGTTTACTGAAGAGATTTTGAAACTTGTTAACCAAGCCTAGAGACTCTAAGAAAGAAAAGTTCCAGGTGAGTTTGGAGACTCACTTTTGTCTTTAAACCAGTCTGCATGCCGGACCCTTCCGAGCCTGCTGGTGTGGTTGTGTATCAGAGAATGACTGCAATCAGAGCCTGCACAGCAATGCGTTAGAGGTCAAGGTGTCCTACAGACTAGAAGTAGTTGTTAATAAAGAACCTCTCCCACTGGGTAGTAATAATAATACTAACAATAATGCCAAAGGTATTTGGAGCACTTGCTATGTATGTGCTAGGTATTTTTCTAAGTGTTTGCTATGCAATATTTAATTTGGTTCTACAAATACTCTAGAAGTTAAGTATTACTATTTTCCCCTCTTTACAATTCACTCTAGTTATGGTCTTCTAATTAAAAAAAAAAATCACTGAATTTTTAAAATATATATATATATCTGTGGCTATATTATACACATATATTTTATATATTTATATTATATAATATTATGATGCATATTATATAATATATATTATAAATATATATATTTATATATATTTTTTAATCTGAGATATATATATCTCTCATTGGCTGATATCTAGTTCCATGAAATCACCCAAGGAGGATGAACTATTTAACCTTAGGTTGTAAATTTAGTTGAGAATTACTAAAAACTCATGCAAAGTTTCTACTCTAGATACAGAAGTTACCAATCTTTTAAGAGTCATATATAATGTGGTTTGAAATATGTGCATGATTGACTCTGCCTTGCCCCCTGAGAGATGTGCGTGTTTTCTTAAAATATTTATTCAGTAAAGACTGTGGAGTAACCTCAGTCCATTATAAGACCTGACCCACCTTAGAAGCAAGAAAAGGAAAACAATTCCTTGAAACGGCATCAATGGCATTTTAGCAAATAAACTCTTGCTCTTAACAAAATTTATTTTGGCAGCATAAACACTTTTGTGTATACTTGTATTGTGCAGAGACCTTCTACCGTCAGAAAATGAGACTGTGTCATGTGAGGCTGTGCAGCTGTTGGGAGGGACACAGAGGTCCTTTAAATGTGGAGGTATTGGTTAAAAAAAGAAAAAAAAAAGAAGCGTGTGTGCTGATCCAAGCAGCATCCGTGGCCTCATCAATTGTTCTACAACGTATTGGGGAAAATTTGTTTGGTTCCCACAATTATTAAAACGGGCGGGATCTGCCTACAAATGCCACTATACCCAGTCCTACCGAAGAAAGAACTTCCAAATAATCAAGGCAGTAAACCTTAAACAAATAAGCATATAGGTTTCTCTTTTAAATGCAAACTTACAGTGGCAGTCTGCCAGAGTCTATATTTCTTAGAAAAACTCTATCACTGGCATAAATGAAAGAGGCAGTTTGATTTGTGGTCAGAGCAGTTTCCATTCTACTTCCACTGTAACAAATGTATTAATTCAGCTCAGACTTCCTCCTTCTGGCAGCCCTTTTGCTGTAAAAAGAGAAATTAGAAGTTCCAGCCAAATACCATACCTTGAACTGACCCACTTCAATACATAAACACTTTTACAACATATTTATTCAGGTGCAGCACTTGAAATTGGTTTAAGATGTTTCCAGTGACAGAGAGCTCAGCGAAAGAAAAAAAAAAAAAAAAGAACTGAGAAACTTGACTGTTGTGGAATAGAATAACTGGCGATCTGTTCTTCAAAAATAATTTTTTTCTATCTTGGAGTACAACATAAAATGTATTTGTTGAGCTTTTATTTTGATTTTTTAATGAAGTGTTAATTTAACAGGAACTAAATTTTTACTTGTGTACATCCATGACCACAGAAATCATTTTTAATATATGATCTCTCTAATACTAAAATAGGTTGCCACAAGATGTTCGCAAATGGAGTAGAGGTAAAGTGGGTTTTCCATTCATTACAACACACACTGCCCCTTTTATAGTTAAACAACCACTTAATGCAAAGTTCCAAGTTTCCCCGGGGTTTGCAAGAGAGTTTCTTTTATTGTCATTCTAAAGACTTTCAATACTGTAATTTTTGATCTGTGGAGAAATAATACTGCTCTAAAAGGTTTATGTTCTGAAAACTGTAAAGATGTGTGTATGTTACAAATATGGGTTTCTTGGGTTTTACAAAGGTAGATATTGTGTGTGAAGCAAAGTAGTCTTCAAACCAACGTGAACTCCCTTTAAAATAACTTTTGATATTATTAAGTTTCCTTTTGGTTTCCTTTTTACTTCAGCAATGAAGTGACTATTAAGATTCCATAAGTTAATGCTTGCTCAGTCACTCTTGGTCTTGAGCTCCTGTGCCTTCAGACACAATATACCTGTACCGATTACGAGGACCAAGCCTTTGTGAACGGCTGAGCAGTTGTTTTTGCTAAAAGTGTTAACAGAAAGACTATATTGCATGTATTAAAAATAGTGAGTCTTTTATAAAATTGATTTGAGTATGTTGAATTTTATTATTAAATGTACAGTGTGCTTTAGATATTGCAAGTGTATAAAGAAGGCTTACCTAAAACATTTTGATATAGGAAAATTATACGTAGGTGTGTATCACTGTGGTTTTATTTTTCAAAGGTGATCCTTACATTTGATTTCTAACTAAAACCTATAGCTATAGAAGGATTAAAGATTGAATATATGGTGAAAACGGAAATGGGGTCGAGTAATAAAAAGAATATTAAATAGAAGGGGGATGAGCTTGGGCCCAGGCTTCATCCCCTGAGGATTTAGGCATGCCTAGGCATAGCCAGAACATTGCTAGGTTTATTTCACCAAGCACAGAGCATAGAACAACGTCACGGGAAAGAACCCAGAAAGTATAAATTCAGAACAATGACCCAGGGTGTGTAGGGGAAAAGAGACAATTTGAGCAGCAAATATATGGGGATATTATTTCTCAGTTTCATTAACTACAGAGTGAGTAAAGATGGGCTTGGGACGATATCTTCCGAAGAAATGATTACACTTTTCACCCAAAAATCAAGAGGGAAATATCTGAGTCTGGGGCTCTAACTTGCTCAATTTTGCCATAACTGAAGTTGGAGACTGGAGACTTCCAGACCTGCCACTCTGACCCTCATGCCTTTGTATAAGCAAGGGGGTCAGGATATTGTATTCACATGTGCCTAAGGGCACAAGAACTATTTGAAATGTACAGTCATTGTGAAGGTAGAGTGGCAAACAAAAGCTCTATCCCAAACCTACTGGTTTTGCATTTCAGACCATTCTTTTTGGAAAATGTGACTTTGAAAATGTTTATTTCTTTAAAAATAGGGTTATTAAAGGAGGCTCTGACATAAAACAGCTCTTTGGAGGCATGTTGATACTATAAGGATAAGTGGTTCCAAATATGAGCATTTAGTTTCCCTGCAAAATACACAGTTTGAAAAACATGCATTTGAGGATTTATCAGTCTAAATGTTGATATCGCTCTGAGATGTTTGCATAAATTCCAGTTTTTTTCCTCCTGTAAACCCACAGTAATTGACTGCTTAACCCAAAACACCTGGGATGGAACTTGTGCCTAAATTACCTTTCCTTCATCTTGAAAAAGACTCTTGCAGCATCCTTTATGGACTATTTCATAGAAGACAAACCAGTGCATTGTTTCCAATCCACATACCCTTCTGATCTGTATTTATTTTCAATCTGTGATTAAATTTGATTCTGGTGCTCTTAAATTATAGTTTCTGTGACTCTAAATTATACTGGAATTTTACCCTTTTTAGAAACAGATGATTTAAAATGTGCAGAATTCTCTACTAAGAATACAGACTAAATCATCTTTATATCAGATTTTAAGGAATGCAGGGAAGACAGGATTTTGTCTATTTAACTTCCATATACATTTAAACTCAAATTAACTTAAATTAAGCGGGTTGTAATCTAGCTATAAATTTCAACTCTGTTATAATTTGATAACATTTCCATAGTTTCTAGTTTTATAGTAAAAACACTGGCATATTGCCAGATATAAGTACACAGATTTGAAGTATCACAAACAGAATTTTATGTTTGTGCTCAGAACTTTCTTATTTTCAAGATGGTTTCCATCGCTTATAACCTCAAACAAAAGCAAGGAAAATCTAGGATTATAAACTATTTCAGTGATACTGAAAACTCATTGTTAAGAGATTTCTGGAAAAGCTTTTGAACTTTAGAATGAATGCAAGATAGTAAGATCTTTAATTCTTCAAAGTAATTCTGAGACTCTGTTTAACAAGCTGGGCTCTGCATGTAATGCCTTTGCTAGATGTCCCCATTCTCTTTTTTATACTGACATTTAAAAGAGTAAATTAAAAATAA